AGATAGAACCAATAAAACATGTCTCGGATTCACGTTTCCGTGAGAAAAAAAAACTTTAGTATTTTCACGAGAAGCAAATATTTCAATTTGTTTGCATGGAGCAGTGTTCTCCCTGTGGCTTTTTATCACCATGTTGATGTGATGCTATCTAAAATGAATTGACCAAAAGCTGTGTTGTGCGTGTGATGCTATAATTTCTAGAAACCGGATGGTATTTCAACAACATATATTCAAGGATGCAAATTTGATTTTTATTTTCCGTGTTTTACTGCATTCAACAATATCATTGAACTTTCTAGACTTATTTTCTGTAAAGACAGGTTTCTCTTGTGCTATATGAGTTGTTGTTTACCACGTATTGTGATTTTGTTTTGTACAAATCAATATCAAGTTTACTACAAAATTGCAAGCACTCGATTTCAAACACACGCAACAATTACATAGCTACATGAAACATCTGCTGTTGTGTCAATAAGAATTTTGATATGACAAGTATTTCGTTCCGTTGCCAATAATTTTAATTTTTTTTATTTTAGTTTTATTTTCATTAGCAATGCAATATCTATCCGAGAAAGATTTTTGTTTTAGATGGTTTTGTATCTACACTCATCTGGACTATTCTGAGCTGAGACTACTGTGTTATAGTAGTCTCAGTTCTGAGCAACATTTTAATATATTTTTGAAAGAAACGGCGGGTTTTGGCAGGATAAATTGTACTCCATCTTTAGTTTGTTGTATAGTGTTTTAAAGACTGTTGTTTCTTTTCGTATTTCTGTTTCAACGGACCATGATGTCGGGTTTTTTTTTCTCACTAATCTTGTAATGGTTTGATAACTTCGATCTCTCTTTTTAACCAAATACATTTCTCCCAATCAAAACACTTGCATTAGTGTGCCATATGTCATCGATGTTCAACGCATAGACATCCCATTCTGTTTGCATGTACCATAAAAGCTAACGAATCCATTCCTTTTTTTTTCTTTTTGTCGAGTCTGCAGCATTTTATTTTGAAGAAGCAAGACATAGCAATCCTACATGCGTTAACACAAATTTTCGGTATCCATGATTTGTTATTGATATATATATTTCTCACGACAAAACATTTTCATACTTAAAAATTATTTTCATGAATATTTATTGATGAAATTAATATACAACAAACGATAAGGAATGTTATTTTGCACTCGATAATATCCGCGTAATTATACGAAATACGTTCGGTTATCAGTCAAACGGCAAGGAAATTTCTGCGGCAACATAACACCTAGTATGACCTCTCAAGGTCACATCCGATGTAAAAATCAATAATTTTGTTAACAGTTCATGGAATTTATGAAATTTGGACCGAAGCTTTCTTATGACCAAAAGACATTACTGTTAATTTAGAAATTATTGCCAAATTTATTATTGTGATTTTGACATGACAGGCCAAAATGTGAGATTAGTTATTACTATTACAGGAAAAGCTACTGTATACAAATATATGTGTCAGATTTCAAAATGCAAGTTCTTATTATTGCAACTCACCCAGTAACATTATTTGCAATGATAAATACCTTGCAATAATTTTATGAATTACAGTATACAGAGCAAAATTTTCAAATTTTTTTTCTTCATTTTTCTGTATTTTTCTGATAGATTAACTTAGGTTTTTGCAGTTAACATTTAAAGACAGTATGGAATTTAACTTGTTTTGACATGATAAATTTGTAAACCTTCATTGATTGCTATGAAACTTTGACAGAAGCTAATCTTCAATATCACGAAAAAGCCTCGCAAGAATTAGATTTTAAAAAACAAATTCTGCATTTTACTGATAAATGGACTTACTTTTTACAATCAACATTACGCTTTTACACTTGACAGCAACAATCAAAGGTGAAACACAGACATTAGAAAATGCATAAAGGGCCTTGGAACCCTATTTGAATGTTTTGTTTGTCTTGTCATGTTGCTGTGTCAATAATGTTTATCAATTCTCTCATGTTCCAACCCATATTTTGTTTGATTTGGTCATGTAACTGTTGCTACAGATAAAAAGTAAAATCACAAAAATACTGAACTCCGAGGAAAATTCAATCGGAAAGTCTCTAATCACATGGCAAAATCAAATGACAAAACACATCAAACGAATGGACAACAACTGTCATATTCCTGACTTGGTACAGGCATTTTCAAATGTAGAAAATGGTGGATTGAACCTGGTTTTATAGCGCTAAACCTCTCACTTGTACGACAGTCTTATGAAATTCCGATATATGTGTCATGCTTTTTGTAATTTGATACAAAAATGATAAAATTTGAAACATGTTAACTTTGCAAAACATCTAAAGTCAATGAACCATGAATGAAGGTGCAGGGCCAAATAACCTCCGCTAGCGGTTGCCCATTAACTGACCTATCACACACTAATAACATGAAAACTTAGCAAAAGTTTCAAAGTCAATAGACCATGACTGAGGGGACAGGGCCAAATAATCCCCATGGAAAAAAGATGTGCCAAGGCTTATACAACTGCATACCAAATACCATTGACATACCACTAGTGGTTCCCAATAAACTGACCTTATTACAAATTAATACATGTGATCTCAGCAAAAGCCAATGTTGTTACAACTGCATACCAAATATCATGGACCTACCACCAGAGGTTCCCCATAAACTGACCTATCAAAAACAAGTACATAAGTGATGCGGCAGGGACCATTGCTCCTTGGAAACAGCACCCTAAGTCTTCCTTTTTCAACTTCCTTGGAATCATTTCCCATAAACTGGGTTCATAACAGACTGCAGAAACACAAAATTTAGACAAAGCCAAAGAATACATATATTCATACTGTATATCATTTTTACTCTTGATAAAAACTTCACTCTCAAAAGAAAAAACAAACAAGCATCATTCATACATTTATTCTTAACTATTTATAAATCTTCTAACATGCATATGAATAAACAAAAATGAATATCATGATTAAGATATTATAAAATTTACATGAATATCCTTCATTTTCTAACAAAAGATTTGTGTGCATATCATAGTGAATATCATTATTTTAGCAGCACTTCATTTAATAAATAAGAAAGAATTTGTTTCTGGTATTATCTCCCTTTAAAAGCAGTCCTACAAAATATTTTTTTTCAAATTACAATATAATTTCTGAAACTAAATCAACATTTCTTAGGTTTCTTTTTTGTAACCTTCAAATCTAATTTATATTCATCCTTTTTCAGCATTAACCCATATTTTTGCAATTATTATAAATTACAATAGTTTGCAAATAAATTATCCTCTTGCAGCAGTATGAACTATTTGGTGGCAATGAAATATTGTATTTCATAAGTTTCCTATCACATTTCAGCAAATTAATAAATGATATAATTATAATTCAATTTGCATTACTTTGTTTTTACAAAAAGATATCAAAATACCTAAAAGACTGTCAATTTTACTGATTTAAGGATATATTTCATTGAACGAGAAAAATAGATTAACGTTTCATGTGACGTTGCAATTGCATTTTCTTAGCATCAACAACTGTGTCCCTGCTCATATTTTACATCAAAGTAACACTCAGAGAAAATTGAAAATCATCAGAAAATCCTCTTTCGATCTTACCTCTTGGTAGAAATAAATGGAGAATGTGTCCCATGGACAAAGATGATGCCCCCGCTTGCATACAACATTATAAAGGGACATAACTCAAGAACAATAAAAGTGACGCTACCCAAATTTGTACTTGATCTGAGTTTTGTGGTAATATTGTGTATAGGTCTCATTATGTTTGGTTGGGACAAACTTAAGTTACAGAACGGAAACTAAAAATTTTGCAATTTTTCGATTTATAAAGGGGCATAACTCTAGAACGGTTAAAGTGACACCACCAAAATTCAAACTTGATCTGTGTTTTGTGGTAATAAGCATTGTGCATAAGTTTCATAACATTTGGTTGAGGCAAACTTAAAGGGAAAGTCCGCGATTTTTTACTTATCATCTAAATACGTTCATCTTAACATAAAAAACACATTCACAAAGTTTTAAATTTATATTCTTTCTAATAACGGAGAAAATCAAGTATTTGTAACTTTTTTGGTTGACCTACGTCACTGGGTTGTGACGTTTTAACCCGATTTGTTGAATCATGGGAAAAAATAAAATCTGTTAAAGTCTTGATTGCTTATCAGAATTTTACGTAATTAAAAGCGCACAGATGACCGTTGGTCGTAGTTAATAACCACAATATAAGAATGAAAGAAAATGAATATGTGTGTACCGTTTTGTAATGATTGAATAAAACTTCCTATATGAAGTTATCTAAATATAAATATTTTCGAATAAATTTCATAAATTATTGAGATTTTTTCATAAAATATCTATAGAACATTTTTACTGATATTGAACTGAAAATATTTTAAGTTTTATTTACCGTTATAACTTTGATTACCATTTCAATGCAAAATATTTGTGAACAGAGTGTGTATATTATTTTGTAAAGTCATTGTTTATTTCTCGATTTGAGGAGCATTCGTTTGAACTTTACCTTGCAGCAATTTAGCCTCAGGCGTACACAGGTGTGAATTCAAGCGAACACAGGTGTGAATATTGTCATTTTGAATGGATTAACAGAAAGAGTATAGCGTGTTTAATATACCCAGATGAAATACCCGATGACAATAGAGAAACAATAAATAAATTGTATAAATTAATTGAAAATTAACATTCAACTTTTTAATTCCGGAAGTGTTACAATATTAAAATGGAACAATTTTCGGTTACGTTCTATGCAATTAGCATAAAGTTAAGATATGAAGTTAAAAGAATAGTACTTTTAATCTTAAAAATTAAATGTTACATTTCCCAATTAATAATCATTGCACATCAGTTTAATTTACTTTACCGGAATTCTTTAACTTGTATTTAAATCTGGCGATGTTTAAATGCTATAACAATCGTAAAACTATCGCAATTTTAAAGTTTTTAATTGAAAAAATACAACAGTACAACATGCATGATTTTTTTTAATTTTCTTATTAACATTTCATTCTTACATAATTAATTCATTTGACAATCCCTTAGACAAATTATTTGTGAAAAGAATACCAATTATCGTTTATTTCATTAATGAATATACATACATTATAAATCTAAGCTAATACATTAATTTGTTTGAGGATTTTTTTTAGGATAGCCGTCATTAATCCAAATTAGTAATACAGTTGTTATAATTAAAGGCATATCTTAGTAATGTATTACTGATATTGACGATTTTAGAACAGTTCGTCCCAACCTCGTTGTTCTTGAAAAAATCTTTACTAGTATCCTTGTAAGTTTCCTAACGTATATGCGCCATTGAGGATGAGCTCCAGAGATAGCAGACTAGTAGCGTATTTGTTTGATGGGGCAGGAGAGGCCATGCAACCACTTGTACAGATAAACAAGCTTATGTTGTCAACACTACCAGAAAGAGTTCCCATCGTCGGATGGGGTATATGAAGGTTCCAAGAATGAACTATTGACATGTCTGACTCTGAACAGTTAGAAAACGGACTTAACAATGATTTATAGACATCGATCGCTTGTTCTTGATATTTGAAACTGCATGCATATATACGTTTATGAGAGTGATTATTTATCTTGTGACTGACGAAAACTAAATGCCTGCATGGTTATATCTTGCCATACGTTTGTATTGGTTTGGTGGGTGTTCACTCAAAATCGTAATTCAAAAATTGTGTTTGTGAGATGTAGATTCACTTCAATACCGAATTTCGTCTATATATTTCACAAGTGTATACCACGGAAAAGATCTGAAGGTATATTACTCCCATTTTGTTTGGGTGTGAACCATCGATGTTTACAGCAATATTTAATGAATAAGATGATGATGGTAGAAAGAACTATGAGCGTCATGTGGCAAATATTACATGCATGTCGGACCATGAGTTGTCAATCTGTATGAAAAGATTTCCAATACAACCATATTGAGTAGGAATTTTTACATGCTATACTCTCGTACTAGTATTACAGGGTTCTTGTGTCGTTTAACTCTGACACACATCTTTTACTTTAAGATGTATGAAAGGTTCTAAATATATATATATATCTTAAATGTAACAATAATCAAACGCCTATAGGCAATCACTAAAATGGTATGAAGTTTTATACAGATTTATTCTTATTTACACAATCATTAACAAACTAAATAAATTTAACAAAGTAACACCGTGACACTACGATATAACAAATTGGATACTAATTATTTTTAACCATGCTATGCAGAAACTTTACACATCAAGCAGGAACATATATATTAATATACTGTTCCAAGCATCAAGTTAGTGCACGTGAATACCAATTAGGTACACGATGTGTGATTTTGTATAACTAAAAATATCAAAGCGAGCAATAACTTTGTCAAGCAAACATTTTTTTTCACCATGCCTCTCTTTATCTCCGCTCCTTTACAATAATTATTTCGCTTTTCGTCGATCATTCTCTATATTGTTCTCTATTCGGTTATTTTTTTTCACTATGCCACTCTATCTCCGCTCCTTTTTCCCATGTCGTCCTAATCCTTATAAAGATAGAGACATTAGACATAGAAGGGGCTCTCTTATCTTCAATGAATTAATATTGATAGTGACTATAAGTGCTGCATTACTTTATATATCTGCATGTTTGTCAATCGACAAAAGCTTGTATTTGCGTGAAGAATTTTTTTTTCTCAAAAATATGGTCCAGAATCATGACAAAACAATATTCATTTCAAATGTTCAAAGGTCATGTTTATAATTTTTTTAAACTTATTATCAGCAAAAATAGTGGATAATATTATTATCCGAACATCATTCATTAAAAGGTGGAATTATAATTTCAAACACACACAAGATAAACAACGTTAGACACAAATATATGGTTCAATAAATGTTACCTGTGCACACCGGGTACCTCAATAAAGAGGCCATGCATGAACCTGTATTATATAATTGTGTAATACGAATTTTTAGTTGACAGGATGTCACTGGAATACCCAGGGACGTGTATCTAATATACGTCCTTTGAATACCTAACTGAATGTGTCGCTCTGACACGACATCTATCAATAATTCTGACATACCTATTATCAATTCGGGAGGAAGCCAAAATATATACATAATAAGATAACGTAAATATAATTTAAACAGAAAAAAAAACTATAAATTTTTCACCGAACATACCAGATAGAGTCACACATTTAACTGTAAAGCTAAGTGTCTTTATAAGTGACCGTTCCGAATAGATCCCGTATCAATTTGATATAATTTAAAGATTAGTTAAAAAAACCACTTTTAATAAAAAAAATTGAGATGTCCGATATTTCGTTATTTACATATCTATAACCTTGGAATATTATACTATATCAACATATTATGTCCCAGCTAAAACCTCTTCCTAACATTGCTCCTTGTCAATAGCCGTTAAATATCATAATTAAAAAAAAATTATTTTATATCGTATAACTTTATTAATTGAAAAATTATCTTGTCTAAATACGGAACTATTCTTTATACAAATCAATGCACTTTATATAAAAGAGGCATACTAATGAATCTTCTGTAAATCAGTGATTGTTACAAGAACACTGCATTTGTCTTTCTTATAATTGAAACTGTTCTTCCTCATCAAATCTATAATTTTTTTTTTTATTAAAAAGGGATAAATACCATCGAATCTCCCTCGAAACAATATTGTTCAAAATGGTCTTCAAACACCAACTTGTGCTTGCTATAGATGCAACTATTTGCTGTTAATTTAAGGTTGTACAACCATGTCTCATACAATTCTTTCATTTTTTGTGGGATTGGGAAAACTATGTAGACTTTTGTCATAACCTTGTCTGACAGAACAACCGTACGCTTGACAAGACATTTGACACTGAATAACCGTCTACGGTAATCCCCAATTGATGATGGGAGTTTTAACGCACGGTCGGTAAATCCCCGATTCTTTTTGTTCTTTGTGGTTTATAGATATCACGTGACTTTTTAGATCGAACATGCCGACAAGATGGCGATATGTCGAGAACTGATAGTGAATTTCAAAAATCGATTTTGATCTCTTTACATAGAGAATAAAAGTTTTTTATTTATGAACATGTGGTTTTTTATGCTTAAAGAACAAAATATCAATTTTTCATTTTTTTGCGGAGTTTCCCTTTAAGTTGGAGAACAGAAACTAAAAATTTTACAATTTTTCCATTTATAAAGGGCATAACTCTAGAACAGTTAAAGTGACGCCACCAAAATTCAAACTTGATCTGTGTTTTGTGGTAATAAGCATTGTCTATAAGTTTCCTAACATTTGGTTGAGGCAAACTCAAGTTAGAGAACGGAAACCAATTTTGGGACGTACGCACGTACGTACAGACGGACAAGGGTAAAACTTAATGCCCCCTCCGCTATGGCTGGGGCATAAAAAATGTTTTAATCTGTAAATAGAATGGTTGAAGTACATTTTTCAATTTCTATGCAGTCTGATATTTACATAAAATTTCTAAATTTAGGCAAAATATACATTATTGAGTGTTTTTTATGAATATTTGATTCATTTTAAACTCATGGAACTGCATCTGAATACTTTAATCTCATAATTTTCATATCATTAAAACAGCAGTGCTCATAGTAATAACAATATTTTTAAACAAAGATCAAAATTTAAAAACAATTCCATTTAAAAGTCAAAGTAATTCCTTTTTATGGCACTCCTATTACACGAATTCTAAATAATTATACCACAAATTTTACAAATTTAAAATTCATTGTATTTCTAGAAATATAAATGCAACATAAATCAAATTCATTTCAACAAGTTCTAAATGCATACAAAATTTCACAAGACAAATAGCAGTCCACAACATTGAAAACTCAAATAATACCCCTTTTCTATACTTTTTTTTTCATCAGGGAAATAAATTCAACCAATTTAGTTTTATTTGATGACCTGCCATAGTAAATATAAGACTAACAAATCCTGTATGCTTTACATTACTTTATCTGAAGACAATGTTGCAGTTAGATAAACTGTACAAGTTTGGAGACATTTTACCTCAGATTTTATGGTAATTGAAAATTTTATGATGCCATGAGATGAAAAATGACCAAAATCAACTTCAAATTGCACCCATAAAATAAAACATATATTGAAATAATAACTCAAGAAAACTTAGGGCTATTCCATTCAACTGAATGAGGGAGGATAGGAAAGGAAGTTTATTTTTTTGACATAATCTGTTGGACATTTATGGTTGTTAGTCCATTTAGTATATGTAAAATTAATCAAAGCAAGTGTGTTGCCTGTGGGTAGGAGGTGAAGGAAGTGCCTTCCTACTTTCCCCCATACATTTTAATGGGATAGCCAACACCTAATTCATATTGCACACTCTATGGCAAATGAAAAATTAAATGCATCAATTCAGATTCAAGTTAATTCCTTCTATGTACAATTTCAAATGCATATTAAAATATTAATTATTTTTAATTGAAATTTACACTCAAGTTCTTTTAAAAAGTTTTCTTAAATACTTGTTATTTCTATCTTAAAATTTTACCCTATGAAATGTTTCAATAATATCAAAATAAAGCTACATGGCACAATAACTGATTAGCCTGAAACGTTGACCTACTATCTTTGTCATCATACATGACATACAAATTAAATTAAAATTCCAAAATGATGTATATATCTTATTTCAATATTATGTGAACTATTTTTTTCATTCACATGCTTTTGCACTTTAAAAATTTTCATTTCAAACTGTTTAATTCTAACCTTAAAATGACATTCATAAAATTGTCATGGTAATAAAACATATATCACAGATTATCGCACAAATGTAAGTTTTAATGCTAAATAAAGATTTACAATTTTTAAAAGAAAGAAACTAAGTTTATAATTCATTCATCAAATAACATTAAAGATAATTCAATACAAACCCCATTCGGAAAAATCCTCACTAAGTTTTTACAGGCAATGTTTTTCAATATCAGTTTTTACAAATACAGTAAATTCTGAATGTTTGTGATGTCTTTTTTCATATTTGTTTGTTCCTGAATTCTATAAAGGCTTTTATGTCTGTTGACAAACAATCACATTATTAAATGCACACAGTTATTTCAGAATTACAGTAAATAGTTTCTCCATCTTCATAACACATACCGTAGAAAGGCTTGTATAGTTCGCACTGGCACATAGTCCGCACCCCCTTCTCCCCACGAAATTTTAGGTAAAAAAACTTTTTGTAACTGTTAGAAAAGGTCTTATGAAACTCCGGTAATTTCAAATCCTGTGCGGTCGTTTGCGTTATTTTCTTGGAAAAATCTGTTTTCCATCATCAAACAGAAGCTGAAACTGCTTGTAAATGATTCTAGAACGCTTCATGATTGTTAAAATAAGTTTAATTCACTTAAAAAAACAATTTAGAAACCTGTGTATGTTTAAACAGGAAGTTTAAAAAGCACGTGTAAAAGAAGAAATTAACCGGTGAGAGTCGAAATCCGTACATAACAGATATCACTATAATACGACTTTGAAAGTAAAACAGTTCCATCCTTTTGTAAAACAGTCTTTAATATATCTATCACATTAATGTTTGAAGGGTCTTAAGCTAATACAAACCATATTAGTCAGTATGAAACACCAAAACGGAACGAACAATAACCGATTACGTTTTGTAGTTTACAAATTCTAAGCTGGTTTACGGTTGTCTTTTTCACTATGTTTGTATCGTTTCAATCAAGCAGATACCAGTTTATTTCAACCAATGCATTGAAAAGAAACGAGAAATTTGTAATGAAAGGTTTAGTTTTTATATTTATCAGTATTAATTTGATATTGAATAGAAATAACTTATTAATATGGATGAGTTAAAATTATTAGTTTGAAAAATGATAAGAGCGCCCTCTACAATATAAATAACAAAGATGGCGGAACGTAAACAAACCACCTCGCCTGCGAAATTGAAATTTTTCTCATATTTCTTGCTTATTGTACTCTATAGTCCGCACCCCGTCTGGAAGGTCCAATTTTGGAGACAAAAACCGCGGACTATACAAGCCTTTCTACGGTAGTAAAACATTCCTATGAATATAAATGTTTCAAACTTATATTTTTCATGAAAACAAAATTTACATTTATAAAGAATCTCCATATATTGTATAAAATAATACATAAGAAAACATGAAAACATTCCATGGAAAAGATGAAAAAAGTCATGATTTAATACAAGTGTTCATCACACGACAGTTGTGGGACAAACCAGTTTAAACACCAAAGCAATTTTGAATTACTATTGAGTTATTTAAACATAAATAACAGACAATTAGTGTTCAATTATTTAGATTTCTTTTAAACAATTAAGTCTTCATATTGACAGAGATGGGATGGATCTATTTAAAAGAAAAAGGCAAAAAGTTCAGAACTAATAAGTGAAATATTATGTGCATTTGATCACAAAAATTGGTAATTTCATGACATTATAAAAATCTGTAATTTGATGACATTACAAAAATTGGTAGTTTCAAGACATTATAAAAATTGGTAATTTCATGACATTAAATAATAGATATATCTACATACTGGTACTTTCTGTTACTTGTTACAAATCCAAATGAGAAGGTAAACATAACATCAACAGAGTATTTTTCTTATAAAAGTATATAGAATGATGTTTACCATGTCCTCAAATACTAATCAGATCCTGTAGCATTTTGTCATTCATAAGAAGCCTTTCATATTTCATTTGAAATCACACAAATTTTCTAAAGCTTATTGTGAAGGGATTTCTTTCCCAATTGTCATAATTTTCATAAAATTTTTCCCATTTAAAACAGAATAATCTTTAGTAAAAACTACATTTTTAAAAATTATTTTTTATAAAAAGTCATTTATTTTTTTTATACTGTATGCTTTCTCAAATTCAGAAAAGAAATCACTTGACAATAATTTGAAAACAAGTGGTTAAAAATCAAATATTTAGATAGAATTTCAAATAGTTTTCCACTTGTGACCTATTGCTACATTAAACATCTTTAAAACCTGAGATAATAACTAAACATCTTTTAAATACTGAAAAAATATGGGTAATCTGACACTATATAATCACAATTTATACTTAATAAGGCAGCAGTGAACATTCAAACAATTATCAACTAAAGAAACAACAATAACAAGGGACACAACTCATGATGACAAATCTAAGAGAGATTATTTCTAAATATTTCTAAAAGAAACACAGGTGCTGTGCTTCTGTGAATCATAGTAATTTATTTACACATCATATGATATATCTTGATATGATTAAAATAAAACTGAGATCTAACCTAGTGATTGGATTGTATCCATGATCTTACTTTCTCTCCTTGAAAATTATGAATTTCAATAAATGGTATATTGCAATACTTCTGATTTGAACTTTGCATATCTGATTAGTTTGATATTAAATGATTATGGTTTTGTTTTTTTTAATTTTAGAAATAATTGCACAGTTGCCTTTTCTGAGGTATTTTTTTAATATATTGTTCCCAATATTTCTTCCAAGTTTAGGCAGATTTTACTGCTGATATTGTGCCTCCTTAATTTTGCATATCAACGATTATATAATAACTCTACTCATGTAAATAATCACTTTGATTCAACATTTAAATGGTGTAGACAGATGAAAATTATAGAAAGTAAACCGTCTAAACTGAATCTTCATTGGGATGTGTCACAGGTACTGGTTCTGATATTAGATTGGCACCGTGACTCTTAACAGGTTTACCTTTTCACATAAAAGATAATTTTTAACTGATTTTATAATTTATAACAAGACAATGGTATTACAGCAGTTCTAGTGAATTTTTTACACTTTATATTGTATTGCATTTAAAAGTTGTTCACTACAATGGTCTTGGTGCATGGAGACTTTCTACATTCAATGTCAAACATGGTTCATGATTAACACCAGGTGGCGCCCAGTTTCCAAGTCCTGTGGGTGTCATGTTCATCCGATGTAGAAGTCGTCTTGATACATGGAAGGGTGCTGTTCTTTCCAGTTGTGTTAAAATCATTATAACTTGTCTGTAAAAAACATAGGTGTAAATTTTTGTAAGTACTGTTACAAGTAAGAGCTTATTGGAAGTACAGTTGTCCATATAAAGTGATTCCTAAATTAGTTGATTAAGTACTTTCCCATTTTGTCATCCAAGGCCTGATAAAGTTTACCATATGGTACAGGTTTCTTGAATTATTGAAGGCTGTATGGTGACCTAAAGTTGTGCAAATCTTTGGTGGATAGTTCTCTCATTGGCAATCATACCACATCTCCTTATTTGAATAAATTGAAATTTTAAAATGGCAAACAAAAATAAATAAAATGTTTATGGATGTTTCAAAAAGAAGGTCACTATTGTTATTCTATAAATGATGTCTGCATAATCCTTAAATTAAATTGACTTTTAATACTGTCTTTTTCTATTTTTTTTTAATTATAAGGACTATCTGTTCTGCTGTATAGATGTCAATGGGAATTTTTTTTAAATTACATTAGGTAACAGTTTTTTTTTTCTGTGTACTGTTATCAGCCTGAACCCATACATATAAAGACAATTACAAATATTGACTTTATGCTGTGACACTGTTTTTACAGGTATGTTTCTATATTAAGTCCCTATGCCATACCTATGATTGCTTAATTCATTGTTGTGTGTGTAAAAATAATAAAGGAATAGATTGTCATAGCCATATATGGCAAAACTTTTCAGAATTTTTAATTTTTAATGTTCTTCAGCTTTGTATTTTATTCGGCCTTCCAACTGTTTTGGAGCACCACTGATAAGTCTTGTGTAGACAAAAAGGCACGGCTGGCATACAAAATAATAAGCCTAGTATCTTTGATGAATTTTTTCATGCATATCCAGTACAAGCCCTAGATATAGGAGAGTATAATAACGTCAGTACCCTACTATATTTTAAGTTGTTTATAACCTACCTGTGAAGAGGAGGTATAGAATCTACAGATGTCAGGTTGCCTCTGGTTGATACAACATTAGTACTCTCTTTACAGTCACACTGTACATGTATAGATCTGTCAGGGGATCGATTCTCCACTACATATAGACCACCTGACCATCCTTGCATCAAGGAATACACTGTCACTGTTTCTCGAATCTACAGATAAAGTATTTTAAACTTACTGTAAATTCATAAATTTTTCTGCAACTTTTGTAGAAAGAACAAAAATGAGTGTTTAATTATTGCAGAAAACTAATTTTTTTCATCAGGTATTTGTTTTGTCATTGTTGAAGCCATACAGTGACCTATAGTTGTTAACTCCTACGTCATTTGGTCTCTGGTGGAAAGTTGTCTCCTTGGCAACCATATCACATCTCCTTATTTTTATATTTACTGTAAATTCAGTCAGTAAGATTTATTGTTGCACATATATGCCCAACACTGAATTACTTAATGTTTGTACATTCTGCACATTAAAAAGTTATTAATATTTTAACCAATTATGCTGACAAATTCAGTTACCCGGTAGTTTACAACCTCAAATCTTACTCCAAATGTTAATAAATTTTAACCAGCTAATCAATATGTTTTTATAATGTCATTACAATTATTTTTCTTTCAGAACATTTCTTTGTCATAAACTAATCATTATTTTTCTCCTTATTTCAATATATTTTTAAATGTCATTACTACTGACCCCTTCTCTCTGTCCTTTACAAATAGCCAGTTGATATATGGCATCAGCTAATGCATATTCATATTTCCTTGTCTTTGTAATAACTTCCTCTACCATCAATGCTTTAGAACTGTGTATGGACATCACATAATTACATCTCTGTGCTGGAGGTTTGGTACCTACACAAACAAATAACAAACACTCTTTTATGCTGTATGATAAATTATTTTTTGGAATGAACATTTTTGTAATTTTTTTTAAAAGGCAAAGTAACTTTGAGAATATGAGTGTAGGCAAAATAACTATTTGGGAATATCCGAAAATAACTTAACTTTGGCGCACATTTGCGCTTCAAAATAATAACTAGCTAGTGATGTCATATCTTTTGTTTACATCTGGAAAATATGGCTGCCACCTAACCATTTGGCACATGCACGGATTAGGACATTGGATGCATTTTGAAACAAAAAGACTCAAACAGCATTAAGCAGGCTACAAAAGATGTGTTACTATGCTTAAATGAGTATGCAATAAGTACAAATACATGAGAAATCTTGATTTTTCCCAAACAGTTTTTTGCCTACAAGCAATTTGCCCCCTGGAAAAAGTTTTTTTTTCTCCTAGAAGGAATAAAAAACATACATTAATATCTTAATTATCTTATTAGTTGTTACTATAGTAAAGTATAATAACAGTTATTATTCTTACTTAGTGTCCATATATTGAAGGCAAGAGTAACAACCACATATTCCCCTGGTTCTAACATAGCTCGACATCCAACAAAACTCTTCAGCTGTCGCTTACTACTGGTTACCAAAGGTCCAAAGGCTTGAGTTGGGCTAGAGGAGTCCCTGAGTATCAGAACACTGAGGTCAGCTGTTGACTGTTTACCATTACCGTTTCCTCTGTCAAAAAAAATAATCTAGTAAGACATTGTTAAACATAGTAACCATTTGAGTATCAATTGGGCTGACATATTGGAAGTGTTTCATATTTCATAAGATTGAAACATGCCAACTTAATGGAAACCGGTACTAACTTATTTCCTTTTCTTGAAAATGCAATTGCTTAAAACATTTATCTTATTCCTATAGATATATTAAAAAAACAAAAAATTATTGACTTACTGTAAATTCAGAAATTATTGTGATGTTTTAATTGATGCGAAAAATGCAACAGGATGAGTATCGCAATAATAATAAAATGCTCCGCAGGGCGCAGCTTGATACGACCGCAGAGGTCGAACCCTGAACAGTTGGGGCAAGTATGGACACAACATTCAAGCTTGATACAGCTCTGAATTTGGATTGTGATTAAATATTTGACACAGCATAGGTTTCTGACACAGAATGAATGTGGTCTAAGAACTTAAAAATTTTAAATTGGACATTCACCTATTATGGTCCAATATCCAAAATCTAAATACATGGTTAGATTCAGCATATCAAAGAATCCCAAGAATTCAATTTTTGAAGAAATCAAACAAAGTTTAATTTTGGACCCTTTTGATCTCAATGTGGACAAAGTTGATAACGGGGCCCAAAAATCAAAAATCTAAATACATGGTTAGATTCAGCATATCAAAGAACCCCATATATTCAATTTTTGTTGAAATCAAACAAAGTTTAATTTTGGACCCTGATTTGGACCAACTCGAAAACTGGGCCCATAATCAAAAATCTAAATACATGTTTAGATTCAGCATATCAAAGAACCCTAAAAATTCAATTTTTGTTAAAATCAAACTAAGTTTAATTTTGGACCCTTTTGACGTTTATGTAGACCAATTTGAAAACGGAACCAAAAATTAAGAATCTGAATACACGGTTAGATTCGGCATATCAAAGAACCCCAAAAATTCAATTTTTGATGAAATCAAACAAAGTTAAATTTCGGACGACGACGACGACGCCAACGTCATACCAATATACGACCAAAAAATTTTCAATTTTTGCGGTCGTATAAAAACTTGCATTCTGACATCTGATATATATATATCTGTATGCAGCTTTTCCTGAAAACGCAATATTAAATCTCAAATTTTTGTCCATTCTTTAATAAAATGCTCCGCTGGGCGCAGCTTGATACGACCGCAGAGGTCGAACCCTGAACAGTTGGGGCAAGTATGGACACAACATTCAAGCTTGATACAGCACTGAATTTGGATTGTGATTAAATATATGACACAGCATAGGTTTCTGACACAGAATGAATGTGGTCTAAGAACTTAAAAAATTCTAATTTACCTATTCAACCCATATCATTATTATTTGCTTTTATATATAAATCAGAAATAACCAACTTAAAACTGAAAATTTAAAAGAAAAAAAAAGGAAAACAAGGGAACCCCCCCCCCCCCCCCCAATTTTTGAACCCCCTTGTGATTCATCACCCCCAAACTCAATCCCAGCCTTCCCTTTGTGATATGGTACCTTGCAGTACAATTTCAGAGAGATCCATACACTTGAACACAAGTTATTGTCTGGAAACTAGAAAAATGCTTGTTTTTTGGCCCCTTTTTGGCCCCAAATTCCTAAACATTTAGGGCAATTACTCCCAAACTCAAACCCAGCTTTCCCTTTGTGATATGGAACTTTGTAGTACAATTTCATAAAGATCCATACACTTACACACAAGTTATTGTCCTGAAACAAGAAAAATGCTTGTTTTTTGCCCCTTTTTGGCCCCTTATTCCTAAAATTTTGAGGCAATTACCCCCAAAATCAATCCCAGCCTTCCCTTTGTGGAATGGTACCTTGCAGTACAATTTCAGAGTGATCCATGTACTTGAACACAAGTTATTGTCTGGAAACTAGAAAAATGCTTGTTTTTTTTGGCCCCTTTTTGGCCCCAAATTCCTAAACATTTAAGGCAATTACCCCCAAACTCAAACCCAGCTTTCCCTTTGTGATATGACACCTTGTAGTACAATTTCATACAGATCCATACACTTACACACAAGTTTTTGTCCTGAAACTAGAAAAATGCTTGTTTTTTTCCCCTTTTTGGCCCCTAATTCCTAAAATTTTGAGGCAATTACCCCCAAAATCAATCCCAGCCATCCCTTTGTGGTATGGTACCTTGCAGTACAATTTCAGAGAGATCCATACACTTGAACACAAGTTATTATCTGGAAACTAGAAAAATGCTTACTTTTGGCCCCTTATTCCTTAACATTTCAGGCAATTACCCCCAAACTCAATTCCAGCCTTCCCTTTGTGATATAAAACCTTGTAGTACAATTTCAGAAAGATCCTTAGACTTACACACAAGTTATTGTCCTGAAACAAGAAAAATGCTTGTTTTTTGCCCCTTTTTGGCCCCTTATTCCTAAAATTTTGAGGCAATTACCCCCAAAATCAATCCCAGCCTTCCCTTTGTGGAATGGTACCTTGCAGTACAATTTCAGAGTGATCCATGTACTTGAACACAAGTTATTGTCTGGAAACTAGAAAAATGCTTGTTTTTTTTGGCCCCTTTTTGGCCCCAAATTCCTAAACATTTAAGGCAATTACCCCCAAACTCAAACCCAGCTTTCCCTTTGTGATATGACACCTTGTAGTACAATTTCATAAAGATCCATACACTTACACACAAGTTTTTGTCCTGAAACTAGAAAAATGCTTGTTTTTTTCCCCTTTTTGGCCCCTAATTCCTAAAATTTTGAGGCAATTACCCCCAAAATCAATCCCAGCCATCCCTTTGTGGTATGGTACCTTGCAGTACAATTTCAGAGAGATCCATACACTTGAACACAAGTTATTATCTGGAAACTAGAAAAATGCTTACTTTTGGCCCCTTATTCCTTAACATTTCAGGCAATTACCCCCAAACTCAATTCCAGCCTTCCCTTTGTGATATGGAACCTTGTAGTACAATTTCAGAAAGATCCTTAGACTTACACACAAGTTATTGTCATGAAACTAAAAAAATGCTTGTTTTTTGCAACTTTTTTGGCCCCTAATTCCTAAAATTTTTTGGCAATTACCCCCAAAATCAATCCCAGCATTCCCTTTGTGATATTGAACCTTGTGGTACAATGTCAGAGAGATCCATACACTAACACACAAGTTTTGTCTGGAAGTTTCAAAAATGCTTATTTTTGGCCCGTTTTTGGCCCCTAATTCCTTAACTGTTGGTACCATAACCCCCAAAATCAATCCCAACCTTCCTTTTGTGGTATTGAACCTTATGGTAAAATTTCATAGAGATCCATTCACTTAAACTAAAGTTAGAGTGCGACAACCAATGCGTCTTCGGACAACGACGACGACACCAACATCATACCAATATACGACCGCAAAATTTTTTTGCTGTCGTATAAAATCGCAATTAGAAATGCATACAATAATTTCTGAATTTACATTATTCATCAATCAAAGAGTACACATAATTACTTACCTCACACCTTCCTGGAAGACCCCAACTTCAACTTCTGATGTATAAAATACAGTTAATCTAACCATCTTAAAGTCCTCTCGAGCATTTACAGGAAACGTTCCATCAACCCTCGTCTCTCTCCAGTCAGGTCTAACCTTACAGATATCTACACTGTCGAAATATCTGTTATAACAAAATACAAATTTCTTATTCTCATGAAGAAACTGTAAATGAAGCTACAAATTAACATAATTTTGTACACTTCTAAATAGGTGAAGCCAAAATTACAAATTCAAAAAAATTAAGCTGGAAAAGGAAATTCATATTATTTTATCAGAATATTATTTGTGAAGCATATTCATAGTCTTTCTGTGTCTATGTTCACTGTTTATGTTTAATATCTTATATTTCACTGTTCATTATGGGTTGTGTAATTTCCAACACCAAAACTATTTTATACTAAATTTTAATGGTAAGTATCGAATAACATGTTTCAAACAAGAATATGTATCCATTGGACACTATGCCACACTTGCACTATCATATGTCCATGTTCAGTAAAGATTAAAATCTGGGACAAATACTAATTTGGCATATAACCTCACAATTTACTTATGGGCTATGTTTAAAGTTGATGTGACCACAACTTCCTAGTGAACTTATATCACACTATCACATTTTGATAAATCAGTGAAACAAAGAAAATGGTAGATAATTAAAAAAGTTCACATTATAATGAACTGGAGTACTTAGTTTCAAGTAGATGTGACCACAATTCAATTGTTAATTTTTACCAAAAACTTGAATCTGGTACAGGATGGACCATAGGAAGGTTATAATAATGCATGTGTAATCCAATTAGATTTTAATTAATTATAAATAAGTGAAGAGCTTACTTGAGTAAATCTTCTAATGAGATCCAGAATACCCCCTCTGTACCACCATGTAACATAATCTCCTCTCTAGCAGCTGAACTTATCTTATTCCACAATGGAGATTTGTCTGACCAGTCTCCCATCCAGGAAAATCGTCCCCATGGATTTCTAAGTCTTATCAACCTGTGAATGAAAAAGAAATCTTGGTAAGACAAAAGAATAGTTTTTAATGCTGGGTGATCCACTTTTGAAGTTGACATTTGCATGCAAATTAATAGAGATATATATAATCATGATTTTTAATTTATCATTAGTTAGGTTGTATCTGTGACATTTCGACAGTATTTTGAAACTATAATGAACATTCAGCCCAACAATGCTTATGTGCCTATCACACCAAAACTTGGCAGTGACCCTGTTTTCTGCATTTATGGAATGCGTGTAGATTTCTGGTCGCCATTGCATTGATTTATTTGTTAACCCCATCTTCCTTTTATTAATATTAAGCTTACTATTTTAATCTCCTGATTATAATTTGGTAAATGGTAAATAAATTTCATTTTACATGTTGTAAAATGGTGTGAAGAAAATTCAAATGTATATTTTCTGGAAATTACTGAAGTAAATACATTTTAAGTTTCTGTTGTTAAATGCTTTTCAAAATAACCGAATTCAAACAAAATGAGAGAAAACTTCTCATCGGAAAATTATTTTTGAAGTATCTTACAAACCACTTATTTGTAAATCTAAAATTCTATTTTTAATATAATTTCCAAAGTATGCAAATGTGGGAGAAATTTCTGAAAGGTAATAAACTGTTATAATGTGGATGGAGATTTTGCTGTTTTGTAAATTCAATATTCAAATTTGTTCATTATGTCCACAGAAGATCTTCATTAGATTGTGATCATTGTACAGAATATCATGAATCTGGTTCAATATATTGATATTTTGAGATATATAATATATATGTCTTTGGCTCCTGAAATTCTTCTGTTTTCAGCGGTCATCTGTCTAATGCGCTCAGCAATCACCTAATTTCAAACAAAATCATTTCAACTTTGGACAACGGTCATTTTAACATTTTCAACTACCAATATAATAATGACAAAAAAGCATGTGTTCAGTATCATAGTCAAAATGATAATCAGAATCCATTTGCAACCTAAATCGTGCAAAAGGAGGTGAATTCTCGTGTTCTACATTTTTCAGTATCCATTGAAAACAGCATCACCAACATATTTCTCTACAAATATTAACATATTTTGAAAGTTTTCTTCCAATTTACAATGGCAGAATCCACCAATTTTTATTTGACTGCTCCATGAACGATATCTCTATCAATTGAAAACACTAACACAATTAAAACATATTACAATGGGTATATTCTGCCCCTGATTGACTACTGTTGTATTATTTGGGATGAATGTAAAAATGAAGGGATAACAAGAATTTTAAAACTCCAAAAAAGGGCAGCAAGATTAATTCTAGATGCAGATCCTTTATCCCCCTCAGCCCCCTTATTTTAAGAACTTGGGTGGATGACAGTTGACAATAGAATCAAATACCACAAATATTTACTTCTATATAAATGTATGCGTATGGAAGCACCTATGTACCTAGTTCAAAAGTTTAAACTGAAATCAGATAATAATCCTTACTCCTTGAGAGGTGTCACTTAAGGTAATCTGATATTTCCTAAGCCAAAAGCTGAGCTATTTAAGAAATCTTTTGTTTATTCTGGATCTGTGTTATGGAATGGACTACCACACAAAATTCGTAAAGCTCAAAACACTTATACTTTTAAACAAAGTATCAAGAAGTACTTAACACAGTCCTGATAAGATTATGTTTTCTACAATGTATTTGTATATTCTTTTATTTTTATTTGATTTTTTGACTACATGTGCATCTTGAACAGCCTTATATCTTATCATGTTAGTAATATTACATTGAACTACTTGACTGTAAATTAACTATGTGTAAATATCTGTTTTTGATTGTATTGTAATTTGTATGTGAGGGCCTCAGGGAAGATTAGTTTATTGTAACTAACCGAGTTTACCCTCTTTAAATAAAGAATTTATTATTATTATTATTATTATAATTTGCTGCTATCACGGCCATGGTCAATGATGGAATCGGAAAAAAAATTTCTAAACCTCTTTCAAAAGGTCACCTTTCTTGAGTGGTCACTTTTAATACTTCCCATGAATGACTGCTTAATACTGGTTTGATTGTACTTGTAAAAAATGAATATGAATGAAATTGATGGTGTATATTTTTACCTATTAGTTTCTATATTTTGTACATCTAAGATGGAGTAAGCATGTCTTGGTCGTAGTCCTAAGTTCTCATACACTTCTTCGTCTGTCTTCATTGTCCCTCCTCCACACGATGCTCCCATCAGAAACCTAAAAAGTTCAAATTAGTTTGAAAATTAACTTAAGGTTGTTTGCCTTTGGCTTTGAAAGTGTCAAAATGATCATTGTAATGTTCAAGAAATTAAAATTATGAGCGGAAATTTTCCAGCTCAAACATAAATAGTAAAATCCTAAACTAAATACCTAAAAATTCCTATATCAATGGACCAATTCAGAAAGTCAGTTCGTAATGAGATTGCACAGTCACAGTCTCAACCAAACAATAACATATGAAACAATGATGATGATATAATCCAACATTTCTAAATTGGTCCATTGTAACGATTTAGGTACCAGTGATTTACTTTAAAAGTAACTGAACAGAGTTTAAATGCTATAACAATAAATAAAAATTTGTCTCCAGAGAAAGGGTCTTACAAGTATAAAATGCAGTAGTGTATTTTTTTTATAGCCAAACACTATTTAAATGAAACTGTATGTATAAAATGAGTTTTGAAAAGATTAACATAAGCTCTGTTGGATCTGTACCAATCATTTCAGTTGAATAAATCTTACCCAGATTCTCTAGAACTCAATAATCTAGCCCATATCATATCAGGGTCAATTTCTTCTTCTCTGTCTTTACCTAAAAAGCCCAAGTATATTGTATCAAGTTCATGTACAGCTCAACAGTAAATGACAAATAACATATCAAAGATTGTCTGTGTTGCTAGCAAATACAGAAAAAGAAGTAAACCTGGGTGTAATGCTTTGAAAATATTTCATATTTCTGTATGACCTCACATTAATTTGTTTAAACCAAAACAAACTAGTATGCTAAAAAACACTGACTAAAATTTATATATAATGTTTATTCCAAATTTACAATATAAGAATCAATATAGTTTTATCAGAAAGCAACTAAAATGTAAAATGCAGCTCTTAAAGAAATCCTCATTATACTTACGCTGAAGTTCAATACTTTCACAAGGAGCACCAGTCAGGGTAGACAACCCTTCTATACATTTGCCTGCCACCAATGATTCGTAACAACCATGGAGCTTTGCCATTGCCTTCTCTATTAAGGCAACCCATAATTGTTTTCTCTTGGCCTGCAAATATCAACAGTTAAGAATTTGTGAATTAAAAATAAGTAATCTGGTCTACTAAACTGAACCCCTTCTGCAGGGAAATTTTTCCATATTATACATGTTAAAGTACTGAAGGATATTCATCTTATGCCTTGGTACAACAGTTTAGTTCATTTTTGTTTAAATGCAAGGTTCTGTTGTGACAGGAAATAAATTTGTCCCTTTTTTTATTATTCATTCAAGCTTATATTTTCAAAATTATTGAAGTATTTCATCATAGGAATTAATTCTTTTCTATCAAATAAATGGTGTCCTTTTTGGGCATTTATTAATTTATACAGTTGATGTAGTAATTATCATATCTTTACCATTTTAAAGGTACATATTTATACAAATAATCTGATTAGAAAAATAATGACCCTTTCTATCAACCTGAAGGTATGGTACATCAATTTATTTGAAAATAAATGTGGATAGTGTCCACATGTGGACACAGATGATGCCCCCGCTTGCATATCATATAGTTATAAAGGGACATAACTGAAGAACGGTAAAAGTGATGCTACCCAAATTTGAACTTGATCTTAGATTTGTGGTAATGAATATTGTGTATAGGTTTCATAATGTTTGGTTGGGGCAAACTTAAGTTACAGAATGGAAACTAAAAATTTTGCAATCTTTCGATGTATAAAGGGGCATAACTCAATAATGGTTAAAGTGACACTACCCAAATTCAACTTGATCTGTGTTTTATCAGTGGAAGTCAAAATTAAACATTGCATTGTATAAAGCATTGGTTGTAGTTGATTCAATTATAATCATGGACAAAGGAAGATAACTCCAATTTTAAAAATTACTTGATATTTAGAAGAAAATAAAAATTTTGCAATTTTTCCATTTATAAAGGAGCATAACTCTAGAACGGTTAAAGCGACACCACCAAAATTCAAACTTGATCTGTGTTTTGTGGTAATAAGCATTGTGTAAAAGTTTCATAACATTTGGTTGAGGCAAACTTAAGTTAGAGAACAGAAACTAAAAATTTTGCAATTTTTCCATTTATAAAGGGGCATAACTCTAGAACGGTTAAAGTGAGGCGACCAAAATTCAAACTTGATCTGTGTTTTGTGGTAATAAGCATTGTGTATAAGATTCATAACATTTGGTTGAGGCAAACTTAAGTTAAAGAACGGAAACTAAAAATTTTGCAATTTTTCCATTGATAAAGGAGCATAGCTCTAGAACGGTTAAAGTGACGCCACCAAAATTCAAATTTAATCTGTGATTTGTGGTAATAAGCATTGTGTATAAGTTTCATAACATTTGGTTGAGGCAAACTTAAGTTAAAGAACGGAAACTAAAAATTTTGCAATTTTTCCATTCATAAAGGAGCATAACTCTAGAACGGTTAAAGTAACGCCACCAAAATTCAAACTTAATCTGTGTTTTGTGGTAATAAGCATTGTGTATACGTTTCATAACATTTGGTTGAGGCAAAATCGAGTTAGAGAACAAAAACCAATTTTGGGACGTACGTACAGACGGACAAGGGTAAAACTTAATGCCCCCACCGCTATGGCGGGGGCATAAAAAAAGACTGCTAATTTCTCAAACAACAATATCACCTTCAATGTTCTTTGTGAATTTACAAGTAAAATTATTGTACTATCTGTTCCAGGATCAATAAAGCCAGATTTTAATGTCTGATCTTGTTCATTACCTTATGACTGTTTTAGTTTTTAAAGTTAAATTAAAAGTGTTAGATCTATAAAGGAGAATAAGGGGAAGATATGCATAGAAAACAGTTTAAGCAAAGGGAGAGTGCTTTAATTGCTATTCTTTGTTTTCTTTAGACTTTGTTTTTCTTCTTTATTTCTTTCAATTTGTTATTAAGGTCTTTCCACTTCGTGCGGACAGACCTTATTGTTTTTCTAATTGTTTTTAATATTCTATTATATTTCCATCTAAATTTGCATTTATTTTCCCCAAAACCCTCTCACACAGAAGTCGACCATTTCTGCCAAATCATTTAACAGCTTATAAACAGATGATAAATTCCAGCTAAAGTAATCTGACAATAATATTTATATGCATAAGGAGTTATCACATATAATCATTTTCCACTTTTTATTACTTATAGCTATAAACCACACAAGCCACCTAGCCTTAAGCAAATCGAAATGGACAAAATACCAAAGTTTATTGTCAAATAAATTATGATTATAATCAGAATCAAATACTTGACATCATAAACATGGAATGTCTGCACCTGTGACCTGTGTATTCATTTTATTGTATTGAACTTGTCATGTTTACCTTGAGAAAAACTAAATGATTGAAACTGACTCCAATTTTGGAATCAATAACCTGTAAATTCATATACACGTGTTTATATGTATGTGTATATGATGATTCAACAATTGAATTTCTGTTCATGCATAAATTTTCTACATTCTTTTTCCCACTCATGTAAACTGTTGATATTTAAAAACAAAAGCAGCTGCAATATACTTTTACCAACATTATCTGCCAGGTGTCAAGGCTATAAAACTATGCAAATTACCTGAGAAAATACGCTCACTGGCTCAGAGTACTAATTTTCATGGATTTTGAGGGTGAGGGTAAACCATGAATTTAAGTGTTCAACCATCATGACTATGTACAAATTTCCTAGAGGCTTGTATGCAGAATTTGGCACTGCCACGAAATGAAGTATCCACGAAGGATACAATTTCCCTCCATCCACTAAAAATGGTACCCATGAGTATAAATGAATCCACAGTGTCTTTCATTTGCTATTTTTTATACAACTAGGCCTTATATCTTATCTGATATTTTAATAATAACCAGTCAGAAAACTATGTAATTCAACATTCCACATGTAAGAGATCACCTATCAATAACATCTGTGCTGCTTGCTTTGTCTAATACACCTTATCCCTATTTAGTCCAATCCGGAAAAAACAGTCACTCAGACAACTTCCTGTTCGGGTAAAGTGTCGCAAAAACAAAGGTCATCAGTAACGATCTAAGGGAGGAAAAAGTTTAGAAAGCAAACATTTTGAAATTTTGATAGATTACGATAATAAAAATGCTTTGTTTGAAGTGTTTACAATGGTTTAAACATTTCTCTTTGAAAAGTACATTGTTTAAACAGGGCTCCAGATAGCTTCACTTGGATGAAAAAGTTGTGTAATTTTAGAACTTATCCGGATTTGAATAAATAGCAATGAGGTGTATATGCAAACTACCTGATCTGACATGTTAATTACCTGTGAGAAAACCAGGTTATTATGCATTCCACATGGTAAGAGATCATCAATTAGAACTATCTGCCACTTGCCGTCCTTACATAACCGAACTTGGTATGCCCCATGAGGACAATATTCCTTTGTTAATATAATGTTTTCTACCAAGTTTGGTCTTTCTGCTAATACTGCTAAGGCACTCAAAAACCTGAAAGATAGAGCTCTTTTATTAAATGTGTGAAATTATCAAATATCAAAGGCTACTGTTGTCACTAAAACATTGTTTCTACTTTAACAGCATAAACCAAAGATTAAAGGATGATATAGTTAATATCTACATATATACAGCTAACTGTAAATCCTTTTACAGTGTGCAAGGACACATGTAAACAATAAGATACGCAATAAAAGTCACAAGTTAACCAAATGTAAAATAAATAAATAGTGGCCTAAGTCATGAAAGTCAATAAAATAAAACATTATAATTATAAGAGGATGTGGTATGATTGACAATGAGACAACTCTTCCCCAGATACCAAATGACCTAGATGATAGCAACTATTGGTTTACATTCAGCCTTCAACAATTAGCAAAACCCTTACCACATAGCAAGCTACAAAAGGTTCTGAAATGCACGTGTATCATCATTATCATTAGTATGACATCAACCCTTTTTTTGTAAATTTTGCTAGTGAAACCAAAACTGTTTTTCAGTGAGGTGTGAGTGTTTACTCAATGTTGAAGGTCACACTGTAACAGTGAGGTTTGAGTATTTACTCAATGTTGAAGGTCACACTGTGACATTGAGGTGTGAGTGTTTACTCAATGTTGAAGGTCACACTGTGACAGTGAGGTGTGAGTGTTTACTCAATGTTGAAGGTCACATTGTAACAGTGAGGTGTGAGTGTTTACTCAATGTTGAAGGTCACACTGTGACAGTGAGGTGTGAGTGTTTATTCAATGTTGAAGGTCACACTGTGACAGTGAGGTGTGAGTGTTTACTCAATGTGGAAGGTCACACTGTGACATTGAGATGAAGAAAAGAAATAGTTAATGCAATGTTTTTACCATTATCTTTTCTTTTTTCTATGTAATTTTCATTTCTGTGTGTAAAACAAAATGTCTTAAACAGAAGACTTACCAACAGTTTCCTAAGACTCCCTGAGATATATCCTCTGGCATAGGTGTTCTGTAAATCTTCCATCCTATCTTCCCCTCCCCAGGGGCAGCAGCAACATCTTTAGGACGACTCCATACTATAGGTGTGTTAGTAAAAGGCTGGGTCTCATCACAAAATAATGATTTAGAGGTCGGAGGGAATGAATCATCTATAAACTGTTCATTATTCTGAAATTAAAAATGTTATATTGTATTACTCTTTAACATGCTTAATGTACCGTTTCAGAATCTAAAGGTATATCGGTAATTACATTGTTCGTACCCCAACAAAAAAATGTTCAGTGTATCCTTTCCAAAATATTACTCATAATGCATTAGATACTGAAATGTCAAATTCTTACATTTCAAGACCCTTTTTTTATATTTCAAAAAATTTTCTCATTTGCTGAACATATTTTTTTGCATCCACTTGCTACTGAAAGGATTCTATACCATTAAAGGAAATATTCAACCAAGAAGAAAGATGGTATGGATTTTACTCATTGTTGAAGGCCGTACAGTACCCTATAGTCATACCTGCGAACCCTCCTGTTTTGAGCGGTAGTCTCCATCGCAAACAACGATATTTCCGGAAATATCCCACTTGCCTGTCCGCTCCAGCACAGGAGTATAGAATCTCCCACATTTGGATATTTTAATCCCGAATTCGTATTTCTCTGGCTTTTTCATTACTGTCAATAGAAATAAACAAACAATCGGCGATCATTTGAAAACTTTGGTCAGTAGTTTTTACGTTCGATTTAACAGTAATCAAAAATCATTTCTTCTATGTCAACTCCAACAAAATAGAGGTCTTTGTCAGGACCAAGTGGCAGTGCAAAAAAGAAGAAATATAAATGCAAATTTCAAGCAGATTGGATGAAAGATTTTCAATTTTACGACTAAGTTCACTTAGCAATGAATCTTCATTTTGCATATTATGTTCAATCAATTTTTCTGTTGCTTCTGGTGGTTTGTGCGACGTTTGAAAACATGCTTAGAGTGACACTCACAACAAAATCACAATATGGAATGTTATGAGTTATGAGACTCTGAGGTATTGAAAAAGACAAAAAAAAAAAATCACCTTTTATAGATTCTAACAATGAATTATATTTATTAACTCTCATACATGTTATAGGTGTTTTGTAAATGAATAAGTAAACAGGTCATATATTTAACTTGAAAATGTCGTTCGCACAAAATCTCCCCCTCAGCTGTCATAGCTGTCATAGCTGAGGGGGAGACCTCCCTCTTTGAAGGTTTCAGAGGTTGGCAGGAATGTATAGTTGTTATTTTCTGTGTCTTTTTGTCTCTTGTGGAGAGTTGTCTCATTGGCAATTATACCACATCTTCTTATTGTTTAAAATACTAGAATGGACAGAAAGTTTATTACTCTCTTCAGCTCAGTCTTCACGATAAACATTTGAATCCACAAGCCTTAAGCTCAATTTTACGAAAATTTTAGTTGGATTCTGTTGGCTTGTAGAGAAGAATTTCACAAGCCCGAAAGCAATTTTACAAGCCTGGGCTGGTGGTCTTGTGGTTAGCATGAAGACTGTCATCTTAAAGTAATATGATGGCAAAGATTTTAAATTTATCTTTATCTTTTGACAATGTTTGACATCTGATGATTTATTTCATATTTATCTATTTAACATTGCATTTCTTTATAATTTTACCACTTGAAGTAATCGGTTAACTGAAGTATTTTGGGAAAATACAATGTATATGTTCAACATGTACAAAATGTCACTAGTGAAAAAAAACAACAAATGACCATCAATATTTGTGCTATCTGTATGACATGTATGTCATGTAGGTGTATAGATTTATAGAAACAGTGGAAACAGTTGCATTCTTTATTTTAAATTTTCAGATTCAATTTTTTATTTCAATATTCACTTGCAGCTTTACAGAAACATCACAATTATTACATGTATTGTGTGTAGTATATGAATGTGAATTATATAATTATCATTCATGTAATTAAAGACCCAATAAAATTCGGCCAATGCGCACAAAAAGTACTTGGTTCTTGTATTGTGTCCAAATTTGCATATTTAAGGAAGTGATTATTTTACTGGTTAAAGTGTCTGTATGTATGTATGTTTAGTTCTATAGGGCTTTAAATAACTTCTTTATGGAAAACTGTCAGTTCTTTGAATTTATAAAAAGATTATTTGTTATTAAATGCTTTGTGTACTAATAATGATCAGTCTATCCAATTTCGGTCTATTCAATCTATGTAACACATGATATAATCATAATGTGTTTTGTATGTGAGCAATTCACAAGTCTAACTGCAAAAATAATACATGCTCTACGGTGTATCAATGAAAATATTTTGTCTGGATTTGTGCATACACATATATATGACACTTTTTTTGTTTTAAATGTCCGAATGTATTGCTTTATTTATCATGTTTATATGTGTTGTAAGTTTTATTTAAAATTATGATGTATATATATCCTAAGAAATACTAATTTAATTTGATGGGCAGTCTTTAAACAATTGACATTTCACTTTTATAACAAAATTATTGGGGGGGGGGGGGGGGGGACTATGCAAAAAGAAGTATTGTCATCTGTTGGTCTTGAACTCCAGACTCACATTTTTCCCTAATTATTAATGACAAAAATTTTTATCCATATGAAGTTGTTTATGCTGTTGTGGCTATTATTTTCGATTTCTGATACTGGTTATGATCTTAATAGCTAAGTTAAGATTTTTTTACTATGAATTTAAAAAAAAAAAGAATTTCTACTATTAAGTATTTTAACTTAAAAACAATAACCAAGATATAAATTGTAAGCTGATAATTTAAAGTGTTACTACCTATTATGTCATCCATCAAAGTTAAAGAATGTGTACAAATGTTACAAAATGTAATCAACACTTCACCCTACTTTGATTTGACAAATGTCACCACTGTATCAGGGTTTCTTAACCATTCACATCAAATAATTTCTTTATTTCCTTGGGCTTAAATAGTTGTGGTTTTTTAAAGGAGATCATAGGTTTTGATTTCAATAACATTTGCCTACCTTTATCAGTGTTTATATGTAATATGTGAATTTTCTCAAAGTCTACCAACCTTGAAATTGCACTAACTTTTCATTAACAAAACATGAAATAAATACAGTAAAATTTGTCTCAGCTGAAAACCTATATACATGATGATGATATATATGATCAATTCAAATTTAAGAAAATTATTTGTTTTTTATAGTATTTAGAAGGATGGGTTTATGACTTATCTAGGTATGTTTTACTACAACATGTACAATGTACATTCATGTAGGCCTCAACTATCTGACTACTTTAATGAAAACTAAAAGAACAATAAGCAAAGGCCACATGTAAATGTATACTAATAATAACTAATACCCTATTCCCAGTTTCTATGCTTGATTGTTGTAAATTTGGAAATAAAATACTGATTTCTATATTTGATGTCTTTGGTGGTCAAATTTGGAGGAAGTATTGGCCACTACACATGCTACACATCTCAAGAGGTGTCAGAAAATAAAATGTAGACACTGGTCTATTCCTCAAGACAGTATATTAACATGACTAATAATTATTAATCATGTTAATACTAGAATTAGTAAAATGACTTGTTCCAATTAATATATAAAGAAAAAACATTTGTAACTTTGGCTACTGGCAATGCTTGTCCAAAAGCCAAGTTAAATGAAAATTGTACCTTGAATGTTTTAGTTGGTATTACACACTACATTTACGGGGAAGGGTTGGAACCCCCCCTTTTTTTTTGACGATCAATGCATTTGAATGGGGACACATAGTTGGAACCTCCTCCCCCCCCCTTTATCCTGGATCTGCCCCTGTGTGGTACTTATATCTGTGGTTTGTAACAACTGCTAAATTTGCTATTGTGGTGAATGTTGTATTGGAGTTTTGTCCCAATTCAAAATGTGAGCTTCTTAAGTTTTTTAACTCTTAATATTGATGAAAACCTTCTACCAACCATTAAGCTAAAGATGAGCATTAACATGTTTTTCTTTTGCATCATATGCATAGACATTTTCTTGGTAATATTTTTGTCTGATAAATACCTATATAGGTATTCCTCACCGCTCCTTCTTCAAACACCTGATTATATGTAATCTTTGTAATTACCTGTTTACAGAATAACGTTATATGCTGCCACAGTTCTAATGCATCATTCTCTTCTGTCTTTCTAATATCATCCATCAGAGTACTTTGTTGTTTCTGTAAAGAACCAACAGAAGGTAGACCTGACCCTTCTAAACCTTTCATTGTCCCACACATCATACACTGCACCAAGTTTGCATGGTTTTGAAAGGTACATGCAGAGCACTTCCACTTTTGTTCTTTTTCCAGACTGAACTTTCCTTTATCTGGGGTTTTGTTCTTTTTATCTTTTTCTAATGAATTTTTGTTCTTCTTCTCTAAACTTTTATCTTTTTTGTCCTTTTCTAAACTTTTGTCCTTTCTTAACTTATCTAGACTTGTGTTCTTTTTCTCTTCTATCTTTCGACTTGGTTCTTGTTCAGGTGTTCTTGTAATTGATTTTTTCTCTAAATATTGATCTTTGCTTTGAACACCATTTTTTATTTTATATTTTTCTAAATTAAGAATATCAAGCCCGTCACTTTTGTTTGATCCTTTGTTTCTCTCTTTAACATTTTCAGTCTTGTTCATGTCTAAATCCAAGCTTTTACTTGACCCAGTTTTATGCAAATTCTTTCTAGCTTGCTCAGTCTTGTTTATCACAGATTTTTCATTTGAAGGAGTTACTCCCCCTTTTTTATTCCCAGAGGATGTAGAAGGAGGTGCATTTTCATTCTTCTCTCCACAAGCTTCACAAACTAATTGTCCAATAGAATTTTTCAATGTACACATGGCACACACCCAGTCATTGTCACCAACTAATGCCGCTTTTGATTTCTTGGCAAAACACATAGCACATGATTTGGCAATTGCTTTGTTTTTCATTGTACACCTAGCACATGTCCAATCCTCCAAAACTAGGTCACTGTTACTCTGACTAGACTGAGCAGAATTCCTTGGAGATGATTTACTAGGTGCTATAGAAGGTAACTTTTGTGCAGGGCTAGGTGATTCACTGCTTACTCTGCCATGAAACTGTTTAGATTTGCTTGTTGGTTTTCTACCATCACGACATACTTGACACTGATCATTTAAGTCTGGGTTTTGATCGAAACTACATACAATGCATGTCCATTCCTTTCCAGTCACTGGATTTGATATACTTCGATGAGCCTGAGGATGCTCATCTTTTGTATTTTTAGAATTTTGTTCATTTTTCTGTGGATACATTTCATTCTCCATGCCGTCGGGTTCACCACGTCTATTAGAGGTCATGTACCCAGAGTCCACTGTAGAAATTTCATTCACGTCATCTACAGTTGGCAGGCGAATTTCCCGAGGAGATTCACACATGTCACAACGAGTTTTATTCCCTGAATTTTTCAAAGTACATCGTCTGCATTGCCAATCTACAGTTAAATCTATATCCATGGCAACAGTTTGATCTGCCATTTTAAGTGTTTTTAACACGGTTGTTTGCTCGGTATTAATATGATTATAAGTTACAGTATAGTCATCGTCATCATTTATCAAAATCACTTCTTTCTCTTTACCTGCTCCACAAGAAGTACAAAATTGAACACTTTGAACGTTTAGATTTGGGCACTTTTCGCATTGCCAACGACTATAACTTTCAACATCAATTACTGTTTCAATAGTTTTACCAGTAACATTAGCTAGTGGTACTCTTGATTTTAATGGTTTCTGATTTACAGAGTTACTATCAGACTTTTTCTGTTTTGGTTTAGCTCCTTTGCTATCACAAAAACAGTCTACATATTCTACATCCTTTAATGATACAGAACTAGAACTAAAGGGATCTAATAGTCGCTTTTGTTTACATGCTAAGCAAGAAACAATATCTGATGAATTTTTGGCTGTGCAAGATCGACAAATCCAACTATTTTGTATTTCAGAGCATTCCATTGTAAATCTATCACTAACCCATCTTCTCCAAACTCAATTTTTCAGTTACTCTCACATCTTTGGTGTAATTTTTTGATATTATAATTCTGAAAAAGAGATAAATACATTTATTCATACTTGTGATTGTGAAACCACAACATACAATTTCTAATTATTCATACCCCATAAGATTTTTCTATTCTAGTTTTTATAAATGCTTCTGGTTTTAGCTAAATTACAAGTTTTACATTACATTTGTACATGTAAATCTTTAAAATCAAAATCATATAAAACATTTTTAGCAACAACATTGTCCCCATACTCCTGGAAGAGTCATTGCAATCTCAAACACTCAAGTTCATTTGAACTCCAAAACAGGCGAGACTGTATGAGTTGACAGGGTTAAGCGTCTCCTGCAATGCATGCCTCGCCAGCTATGCGAATCAACACTCAGTCAAAATGACACATTCAGTAAAATAACAGATCAGATGACTATTCTATAAAGAAGTTTTATATAACTGTTATTTCCAGAAACAGGTTGTGATCCATTATCTAAGATAACAACCAGGAGTTATGATCCATTTTTATGTCCATGCAAACACCTTTCTACTATAAACATGTCCAATATGATTATCATGCACTTCATTGTTGTGTTATTTATATTGTTTTCTGCCCTCCTTATATGTCCAGATGAATATTTGTACTGTATGAATATTCTAAAATTTATCCAAATTTTAGTCATTGAAGCCAAGGACATGACCCATTTCTTCATGAATTTTGAAATTTTATCTTTTAAGGAATAGCACTACCTAGTTATTTATTATTCTATTGTTTCTATTGTCCAGACTATATTTTGTTCATGCTTTTTTTCACCTTAAAGTGAAATACAGCATTCGAAACCAAATTAAATAGTTAAGTACCATTTAGTCCATACAAACCATTGTCCAAAGTGAGGTAGAGAAACACAATGTATGAACTATGGCTCTCAAAATGATGACAAATACAACCAAATGGCCTATACACAAATAAAATATATAATACTAAATCTATTTAAATCTCTTTAACAAGCTACTTGTATTGAAGTTAAGTTTTAATGTTAACAAAGACTTGAATATCTATAATAAACCAACCTGACAAATGTTCAAACTTCACTTTCATCTCCTAATCTTAATCAATTCAAATATTTAAAGGTACTGCACTTAGTACTCAGTTGTGACATCTCCTAGAATGACCCAACTATAACCTTAAATAGCTGTTATATTTATTCCCACTCCTACATGAAATGTCCACAGGGTTTTTAATATTAAATCCAATACATAAATACACAGGATTTCACACCTAAGTCTTGTCACCTATGTCTATGTGACATTGTCATTTTAATGAGATTTCTAAAAGTTCTTGTAAGATTTTTTTCAAACAATTAATAAGATCAGTCTTGTGAGAAATGAGATTGATTTTTTTATATCTGACAACCTTATAAATAATCTGTCATGGTCATTATGGTCAAACCTAATCTGGACAAAATAGTGTAATTTGACAAAATATTGCATTAATGTCAACAAGACTCACTACAAGTTACCACCCATGTTTACAAACATGTTCCTTGTTTGACAAATCATACTCAATATGCTAAAATTTCTTGATTAATTTTGATTTTTAAAAGTCAAAGTACTTAATTTATACTTAAGACGTAATTATTTATAACTAATATTAAATGACATGAAATGATGTAATTCAATTTTTAATCCATTTCCCTCCACTATAGTGCATTGCTTCATGATGTTTATTATATCATGTATACCATATAATCAAACATATTACATATGACATTTATATAACTATTATCATGTTAATTTACAACTATTAAATGTTCAAGTATAGTATTTGTAAAATGTCAGTTGTTACAAGCAGGTTTTCCATTGATTTATTTTTTAATCAAAGCCAAAATTTAAAAAAGATACACAATCACCTTCAAATTTTTGGTTAATTTGTCATATTTAATATCGATCTTGTAATTATGTACAACTGTACCATTAGATACTTAGCAGTCAAATGAAAATTCAAACTGAGCAAAAAAGTTGATGGAATTTGTATATGTATCATCATATTTAAAAAAAAAAAGCAATCATTTTATATTTCGCATAGTTGAAATAATTAAAATATAAAAAAAAAATAATCGGTTTTTCTAGTAGAAAGAATTTTAGCATTTCTTGTAATTAAAATTTGTCTTACAAAATCAAATTCAACTTACAAAAGCATTCCGTTTTCTGCCTGTCGCAAGAACAAGTCTTACTACACACACATCACTTTGTTAAAATTCTACTGATTTAACAAAAAAACACAAATTCTTTTAATTACATAACATTAGTTGTTTAGTTGATTTTTATCTACCCATCAACAGACTTAAGATCAAAGATAAAAACAATACACTACCTGCAACATGCCATGTTCTTTGTACTTTGCCGACATAAGTAGTAATTTTAGAATTAATACAAAAATTTCCAGGTGAAAAAATGAACTACTCTACATCAATTAGTCCCAAACAGTAAAATAAAGAGCAATGTACAGGAGGTCTTCTAGAATGGGTAAAAATGTTACCCATAATTACATTTAAATAGAAATTAAATGCCATAATCTTCAAAAACATTTTAAAAACATTTCTCAAAGCTATATTTTTAAAGTCTTTTATAAAAGCATGTGCAAAACAAATGATATATAAAGTAATCTTATTTGTGGTTTCAGGGGATATTGTTTCTTCTAGCTTACATCTTTAAACAGTTTTGCACTTTGTTGATTATCTGATAATGGACCAAGTTAATTTGACCCAAAAGTTTAATAGACGATAAAAAATAAAATAAATACTGGGTTTCAACTATATATATATATATATATAATTTATTAAATCGATTTTGACTACTTAAGGAGAAAACTTTTAACGTAGAGAAAGCTGTTCTCTTTCTATGCGATTACATAATGTACAAATAGTCAAAATGAAAGATCAACAGTTCAATTGTAAAAATAAACGATAAGTACAAAAGAATGAAATTAATCAAAAATATACCTGTACTTTATCCTAACGATGTCAACAAAGAAAGGTAGTCTCTCCATAGTATGGTGTGTCAGTTTACCTGGTGAGGTGACTCACGGTACTTGTAAAATTTTATAACAATTAGGTAAATAACTTTGACAATGATCGGCATATCTTTCATTATTTGCCGATCGTTTATAAATATACGTGTGTATTAAAAGTCTTCACAGGATTCCAATAAAAAGGATTTACACAGAGAGTAAAACTGGCCCAGATGTAATCTCTGGCTTTTGTATTGTACAGTTTATCACACCGTTGATCGTTGTGATTTTGTCGAGCTGATCTACATAAGTATTAGCTTATCAAAGGATTAAGAGGGATTATGTATCATTCGAATAACTTCATGGCAGAAGATTAAAGCATATTCCATATTCTAATAGATCTTACCAACTATTTTAATTAATTCACAAAGGAATTTATTTAATTAGAAAAATATATATTAACTGCCCTCAAGCTCTATATATATATGTCCTTGTTTTGTTGCTTTAATCTTGTTCTCATGACATACTTAATTTTCCAATTTATTGTCTGTTATTATGTAACTGCTTGTAAAAGTGTTTTAGAGTACGTCATCATGTTAATTCATGTCAATATTGGAGCATATAAACCCTTGAAGTACATTGATAAAAAAAAATATAAAAGTTAACTTATTAGGCCTCAAAATATTGCAGTAAAATCTAATCTAGAGCCAACTAAACTTTAATTCCATTTTATTTTGTAGCCACATTAAAGACAGGGACCTTTATGAATTTTGACCCCAAAAATGTAAATATTGCCTTAAAAAGTTGGATAGAAATTTTCCCCAAAATTTACATTGCATCAAAAAAAGTTTGTACATGATGGATGGCATTGTAATTGGAAATACAGATATCTTCTTTTTCAAATATTCTCTCAGTGCACTGTTAGTGTGTACACATGGTATAATACCAGTAGTAGCTGTTTACAAATGCAGGCACGCAATTAAGAATGTATACATGTTCTATGTTTGTAGAAGGCTACCTTACATTTATACTTAAAAAATAATAATCAGTAGAATAAATATGAATAAAACAATATATACATTATTTGCAGAACAACACCTTACCTCAGGATAAGAATTTCTGATTCGTCAAAACAATATTACATAGGGTTTATGATTGTGACAAATAGCTACATAGTATTTTGTGTTAGAAGTGACAATGTCAATTTAGTATTATCTGATGAAGTAAGACCCTGAAGCTAATCTTTTAACAGTACAGGCCTCCATTTGTCTAAATCTAATTTTACAACTGTCTCCGGTGGATTAAAATATTTTTCTAATCAGTATTGTAGACCCAAAAAAGATTAGAAGGGTTGACTTAAGTCATTTTAACTTAATCTGAACACTGCCTATCAAAGCTTACATGTACTTCAAAGTTGGTCTACTAGCATGTTACCAAGAAAAAAATTCATTAGTCAAACTATCCTTAAGATTCCTATAATTTTCTGACTGGTACCAATTCTACTGCACCAGATGCACATTTTGCCAAATAATGTCTCTTTAGTATCAATGAGCCAAACTATTTGTAACCAACACTTAATACAAACTTTGAAAAGCTGAAAAAACATAAAAGGAACAAAAGTCAAAACTAGGATTCAGAGCTATAAATGAGAGATGTATTACTGGTACCTAATTATACCCTGTACTATGAAGAAGCAGGAGAGTATATATCCAGTTTTTGTGGGCGCATTGCATTTGGGCCAATTTTTACAAAATCCAATCTTTCATTTGCGCCACAAGGTTTACCGTTATATAATATTTGGGCCAAAAAATAAAAACTGCATTTGCGCCATTTCACAGGTAACATATAAGGGAGAAGTTTAAATATTCATTGCTATATTGTGAATAAGATTTTTCGGTATTTCCCCCTGGGTAACTAATTGAGTACATACTCATTTCTAATATAAAACTGAGAGTCACTTAGGTTTAAAATTATTTTGTGTTCACGTTTGAGGTGTCAATTCTGAGAGACAAACAGGACGTTAGTTTTCTTAATTGAATTATTTCATATTTTTATGTCAGGGCCATTTATAGCCCACTATAGGGTATGGGTTTTCCTCATTGTTGAAGGCTGTACAGTTGCCTATAATTGCTTTCGTCCTCTTCATTTGAACTTTTGTGGATAGTTGTCTCATTGGGAATCATACCCCAATCTTCTTTCTTTTTATATAGAAGAAATAAGTCTGTAATTTTTTATGACCACACATAAAGGTTATCAAATGTACATGAGTACACTCGGACCGTTACTTACAAGTTTTGTGTCAGAACAAACTTTTGGTTTTACTCCATTCTCTTTTTAAGAACGTATCAATGTATGGTGCTTTTATTATGATTATGGTGACTGATTTCTGATGAATATATTTTATTATGCAATAAAAAAATGTGTTTTAAAATTATTATTAAAAGTCTCTATTGAATAAAACTATTTTTTTTATACTACATGTATTTACCTGTATTATTGGCGCAAATGAAATATCATGAATATGGTTTGAGGCAAAAAATGAAAGATTTTTTTGGCGCAAATGAAATGCCAATTTGCGCAAAAGCAAAGCACTGGTAATCTGGTTTTTGTCCTATCTACAGTTTGTCCATAAGTCCATTTGTCAGTCATTTTCATTTAGGGATGCTAACTCCAATACTACATATGATCACATTAAGGATTGCAACCATACTTATATATGGTCACATGTAATGAGTTGAAGATCCCTGTTGATTTTGAGGTCACTATATGTTAGCTCTTAGTCTATAGGATCAAGGTCATTACTTATTTACTTACTTAGTCCTTGCTATGCCTGATGGCACAAAGGTCAAGGACATAGTTACTAAACAAGAGGCTCTCAAGAGCCTGAATCGCTCACCTGTAATTTTTTGCTTAAATCTTCCATCAATGATTATTTTTTCTTTTCAATATATAATGAGTGGCTTAAAAATGCCATTTGTTCATTGTATCGGTCATATTTTCTTCAAAAGCAAAAAAAATGCATTTTACCCCTATGTTCCATTTTAGCCATAGTGGGCTGTGGCTATTTTTCTTGACATACAAGGAAATAAAATACAAAATTTATACTAGATACTCTGAAACTCCTTCAGCCCAAGTTTGGCTGAAATTGATTCAGCAATTTCAGAAGATTTTTTAAAGTAAGCAAACTAGATGAACAAATTGTGAAAAATTGTCTTTAAAGGGCAATAACTCCTTAAGGGGTCAATTGACAATTTTGGTCATGTAAACTTATTTGTAGATCTTACTTGGCTGAACATTTTTGCTCTTTACAATATTCAAGATAATAACAGAAAACTGCAAAATTTCTTTAAAATCATCAATTCAGGGGCAATAACCATTAAAATGCTCCGCTGAGCGCAGCTTGATACGACCGCAGAGGTCGAACCCTGAACAGTTGGGGCAAGTATGGACACAACATTCAAGCTTGATACAGCACTGAATTTGGATTGTGATTAAATATTTGACACAGCATAAGTTTCTGACACAGAATGAATGCAGTCTAAGAACTTAAAAAATTTTAATTTACCTATTCAATCCATATCATAATTATTTGCTTTTATATATAAATCAGAGATAACCAATTTAAAATGGAAAATTTTAAAGGAAAAAAAGGGGGGAAAAAATCCCCCCCCCACCCGAAATTTTTTGAACCCCCTTATGATTCATCACCCCCAAACTCAATCCCAGCCTTCCCTTTGAGGTATGGTACCTTGCAGTACAATTTCAGAGAGATCCAACACAAGTTATTGTCTGGAAAAATGCTTGTTTTTTGGCCCCAAATTCCTAAACGTTTAGGGCAATTACCCCCAAACTCAAACCCAGCTTTCCCTTTGTGATATGGAACCTTGTAGAACAATTTCATAAAGATCCATACACTAACACACAAGTTATTGTCCTGAAACTAAAACTAGAGGCTCTAAAGAGCCTCTGTCGCTCACCTTGGTATATGTGCATATTAAACAAAGGACACAGATGGATTCATGACAAAATTGTGTTTTGGTGATGGTGATGTGTTTGTAGATCTGACTTTACTGAACATTCTTGCTGCTTACAATTATCTCTATCTATAATGAACTTGGCCCAGTAGTTACAGTGGAAAATATTTTGTAAAAATTTACAAAAATTTACAAAATTTATGAAAATTGTAAAAAATTGACTATAAAGGGCAATAACTCCTTAAGGGGTCAACTGACCATTTTGGTAAAGTTGACTTAATTGTAGATCTTACTTTGCTGAACATTATTGCTGTTTACAGTTTATCTCTATCTATAATAATATTCAAGATAATAACCAAAAGCTGCAAAATTTTCTTAAAATTACCAATTCAAGGGCAGCAACCCAACAACATGTTGCCTGATTGGTCTGAAAATTTCAGGGCAGATAGATCTTGACCTAATGAACAATTTTATTCTGTCAGATTTGCTCTAAATGCTTTGGTTTCAGAGATATGAGCCAAAAACTGTATTTTACCCTATGTACTATTTTTTTGCCATGTCGGCCATCTTGGTTCGCGGGCGGGGTCATCGGAAACATTTTTTAAACTAGATACCCTAATGATGATTGTGGACAAGTTTGGTTAAATTTGTCTTTGTAGTTTCAGAGGAGAAGATTTTTGTAAAAGATTACAAAAATTTACGAAAAATGGTTAAAAATTGACTATAAAGGGCAATAACTCCTTAAAGGGTCAACTGACCATTTTGGTCAAGTTGACTTAATTGTAGATCTTACTTTGCTGAACATTATTGCTGTTTACAGTTTATCTCTATCTATAATAATAATCAAGATAATAACCAAAAAAACAGCAAAATTTCCTTAAAATTACCAATTCAGGGGCAGCAACCCAACAACATGTTGCCTGATTGGTCTGAAAATTTCAAGGCAGATAGATCTTGAGCTGATAAACAATTTTACCCCATGTCAGATTTGCTCTAAATGCTTTGGTTTCAGAGATATGAGCCAAAAACTGCATTTTACCCTATGTACTATTTTTAGCCATGTCGGCCATCTTGGTTCACAGGCGGGGTCATCGGACGCATTTTTTAAACTAGATACCCTAATGA